GTTGCAGAGGATGGTGGGGTGGGATGCTGCTGACCAGTTGCTGGGGCTGTGATGGGTGGGGTAGGAGCATGTGATATGCCCACCCCACCCCACCCCACCCCCTGTAGGGGAGCCCTAGGACACTCACCTCTTCCTCTAACCGGTATAGGTTGGTCCTGCTGTCTTGCATTCTTTCCAGATATGAAGAAAGTGGCTGTGTCAAGACTGCCACCGTCTTTCACAGATATCTCAAACTAACACCTTGTAGTCAAAAATTGTAAATCTTGCTGGGAGGTGGTGGCACACACCTTTAATCCCTGCACTCGGGAGGCAGAGGCAGGTGGATCTCTGTGAGTTTGAGGCCAGCTTGGTCTACAGAGTGAGATCCAGGAAAGCCAGAGATACACAGAGAAACCCTTTCTCAAAAAAAAAAAATAATAAAATAAAATTTGTAAATCTTAAAATGTAATGTGACTCTAGGCCTAAAACTGAGATTGTAAAAGTTCCTTTAATCCTCTCCAAAGCCTGACCTCCAGACTGTAAAATCTCTTTGGCCCTCCCTGGTGCTTGGCTGTCACTGTGAGAAGAGACTTGAAACCTGCTCCCATTGTCACAGTGTCAGGAGCCAGAACTCTGACTGTGGTCCCAATGAGCTGAAAGTTTCTTTTTCCGCTCCACTGTGTCTGGAATAAAATTTGCTTCTGGTTGATAGACTTTGGTGGTCTGTCCCCCATTATTTGCACATCCCAGGACCCAACAAAAAAGACAAGCTAAAAACTTGTAGAAAGCGTTTGTGAATCACTTCCCTGATAAAGAACATGTGTTGTGCAAATCTAAGATTCAAATATTCACATTGCAATGTTTGAGTTGGAGTGAGTGTCAGTAGAGACCAAGCAGCAATAAAGGACCACGAGAAATGACAGGGAAACAGTTCTGGGGGCAGGGATGGCAAGACACATGGACTGCGCGAACAGAAGTCAGGAATGCTAAGGGAAATGTTTGAAGGGGTCTGAGGTAGGTGAAGAGAAGAAAGGTGGGAGGTAGATCGGCTAAAACTAAACATGCCAAAAAAGAACTTATTCTAATTTTCTTTCTGTTGCTGTAAGAAACTGCTCTGACCAAACACAATTTAAGGAAGGAAGGAGTTTATTTCTCCATTAATGTTACAGTTCATCATTGAGTGAGGACCGCAAGCAGCGTCTTGAAGCAGAAACCATGGGGGAGGCAAACCACTGGCTTGCCCAGTCTTAGACTTAGCTAGCTTTCTTATGCAGCCCAGGAGCACCTACTTAGAAATCTGTACCTCCTAATGTCGGCTGACCCCCCTACATCAATGAACAATCAAGGCCATCTCCCGAGTGGAGAAACCCTTCTGAGATGATATAACGGCTAATGCTGGCGGTCAACGTGACTACATCAAGCTGCTGGGCACACTGGAGATTTCTTGATTGGGTCATTTGAGGTAGGAAGACCCACTCTAAACAGGGCCCATATCTGCTTGCCCACTGGCAAATTCATCCATCCTGTTTCTGAGACATTCTTGTGCTCATATTAGAATCTGCCTTTGGGAAATCAAAGGCCAACGGCTCTCTAGGAATCCTCCAGGACTCCAGAACCAGATTGGAACTGCTGAGATACCCACTCTAAAGGACTGAACAACTACCAGACTCTTGAGCTTTCTCTCGGGTGACAGCCATTGTTGGCCTACCCAGACCACAGCTTGTAAACGACTCTAGTAAAGCCCCCTTTAATATTCATTCTATCAGTTCTATTCCTTTAAAGAACCCTGACTAATACAGTGACTCTGGGCTAGGTCAAGCTGACGATTAACGCTAACCAGGACAGCCCCTGGGAACATATTTTATAACCTAACAGAAGAGGAGCTTGAATAGCTCTTCCCTAAATGGGTAGGTACTGTGGCTTCCAGGAGTCATAGGTTATTAATCTAAAGTCTCAGCACCCGTTGTAGGGTATCTCCCAGTGAGTTGTTAGCTATGGAGCCCCGGCCCCAAAACAACACAGGACATTGCCACGTCTCCTTGCTTCCTACCGGAAGTAGGCAATAACCCTACTGCTGAACACAACACACACTTTGGATACAGGACACAGAAAGCCAGGTGGAACTGCGCTGGTGTCTTCTGCCCTGAGTGTGCATAGGTCTAGAAGGTGCCACGACAACCGCTGGGGGAGTGAGTGTCTAACACCTCAATACGGACATGCTAAACAAAATGGGCACACAGGTGGAATAATGCCATCACTGTTCTAGGAATAACAAGTTGCATCCTGGTTTGATCTCTGTCAATCCATGACAGAGAATGCAGGTTCTATTACTGTAAGCCTGTTAAGAACTGGTGGCTAGTGAGGTCATAAACCATATGAAAGAAGTTGCTGCTGATGTTTGCTAAAGGAACATGTGACTCCGTAGCCTTCAGAATTCTTACGTTATACATATAGACGAATGCAGCTCTCAGGCTTAGTCAGAAAAACCTCATGGCAGGGAGTGATGGTCAAAGCAGAGAGTCATAACCAAGTACTGAGAATAATGGACCACAGAGTGCTCGGCCTTAAATAAGGCATCTATACCATCCTCTCTGAGGCTGGGGGGACATGGCAATAGAGGGGCAGACAGGCTGAGAGACTGGGGAAGCACACGGAATAGTGCTGTTCTTTGAGCATCCCATGGTTGTGGCAGTGAAGAACACAGACATGGATGGAGGCAGGAGTCGAGTACCAGGGAGAAAGGGCGTCAGTAACCTTCAGTACTCAGGCCAGGTCAACAGATGAGAAACAAAACAGATCAGACCAACTCTCTGCTAGTTCAGCTTTTCCCTACTTCTCTCCACAGTGCGTCAACCTCGGCTTTTAAACCCTCCTGTGGCCTGAACCTCCTGCTCGGTCCACATGTTTTTCTAAGGCAGAATAGAAGGAAACCTTAGGGAACATGGAAAGAGAAAGCAGTCCTTTACTCTGGGATCTAGTTTGCGCTTCTTGCTAGTTGACAAGTCAAGAAACAGAGTAACTGATGAAGCCAAAATCACCGGCAGAGATGGTGCCTATTTCTCTAAGGACATCTCAAGCAACAGTATTCAAAACAAACTTGTACTTGCTTGGAGCCATAATGCTTAGAAGCTTGAGTTTTTCTGTAACATTCCTCTCTCATCCCTAAGTCTTAATAATGCACCTCAGAAAAACACCTTTACAATTTCATTTAGGAGAAACACAAACCAGCTCATACTGTTTTAAACTTCTGACTGTTTTTTAACTCGCATACAGTGTATTATGATTGCATTCCCCCTCTCCTCATTTCTTTTGAAAACCAACCCCATTGCTGCTGAGCTTTGGAGTTTCATAGATTCATGCAGGCAACCAAGTAGGTGTCTGTATTGATAGAGCCCAGTAGAAAACAAATCCCATGTGTTAAACAATAATAAGTAAATACATATTGGCAATAGGAAACTCCACATGAATCCCCATTGCTAAAGGAGAAAATTCAATGAAGAACAACTTGGAAGGATGAACTCTCCCCTAAGCCTGGGCTGAAGGCTTCATCGGAAAAGCTACTGGTAGGTTCCTGGAGTTGTAGAGAAGTTTACCGATTTGTCATAGTCAGAGCTGGATGTGGCCAACAGATGACCCAAGAGCAACCCTGCAGGCCTCAGGCAGTGACATCAGGGGGACTTCAGTAGAAACCTGCAGACAGTAGCTCAGGGTATACACAGCAGCGCCAAGATCTAACGCTTCCGGTGCTGGCTTTCACCCTAAGAGAGCCATGAAAGGCCAATTGCCGAGATGGTCTTAGGTATTACACTGTATTGGACTTTACCATTCAAGACACCGGGGACTTGGGAAGAGTTAAGAAAGAAAATGTCAAGAGTCCTCAGGAAAACTAAAGTATGCAGGCCATCTGGAGTCATGTGAAGCAGCACTCTGGAGGGCAGTGCTCTGGAGGGCGGCCTCGGGAGCCTCTGTTCCACCTTGTAGGATCAAACTGTGAAAAGGCGCTTTCCTCCTGCTGCACCTCTTCAGGGCGACACAGTGAAAATCACCTAACACTGGGATGACTTTAAAGGATTTCCTTGTGCTAGGAGAGTTCTTAACACTGGACAGACTATTCACAAACTAGATTCATATGCTGAAGTTCACAGAAAAAAAAAAAACCCTGTACCTATGTTAAAAATTCTATAAGGCTGGTTGACTAATTAAAACCTTCTGTGATTGGGGAGAGATGGACTGCCACAAGTTGGGAGCCAAGTTCTCTTTAGGTCCATTAGTAACAAGTTATTACCTACCTCTGCGTGTGAACTACCATCATTTAGACTATTGGGTAAACTGGTTTGGAATATATAAATATATCCCTAGTTTCCACCAAACCTAAGCTAAAAAATGACATCCTACAACATCTGAGGTCTGAAAAGCAGACTTCCCCGCTTCATAGTCAGTAACCCACCTACTTAATGTTTTATTGATACATGTTTAAGGCACATGCTGCCCTTTCTGTACACTGCACTGTTTTAGAATCTATAAGGAGATACAATGGTTTGTCTGTCTTTTTGATAGATAAGACCTTTCAGACTATCATCATCCAAACTGAAAATGTGACAAATCATGTCAGTCATATTTTCATCACTGTGAGAAAAAAATCTCTGGAAAAAGTAGCTTAGAGATGGGAGGTTTGATTCATGGTTTCACAGGGTTTGGGGGTAACTTTGGCCCTGTCATGTTTGCTGTTGAGAGGCGAGGGGCATGCCGTGGGCAAAGCTACTAACACCATGGCAACCAGGAAGCAAAGAGGGAGCAGAGAGAATTATGCTCCGTCGTCTCCCTACAAACACCAATTGAGGGTGCCACCCTGGAAGAAATAGTGAAAGTTCCCTCTCTATCCATCTACTCCCCAGGGATCAGGTTTGAGACCAGAAACATCGGCATTTCAACTGCCGCTAAAACACACGGCATTGTCAGTGATTAGAAGTCCTGTGGTAAACTGGATGTTACAGATTTGTAAAATAAGGTTTAAGACAGAATAATGACAAATTGCCAAGTAGTTTATTTATTCCAGTTTATTTCCAAGTGCTGGGCTTCCATAGCTAAATTGAATGTAAAGCAGCGATAAACCTTTCAGGAAGTGATAAATCTCCACAAGCCACTTGTAACTTATTTCCAGATTACAGACACACCCATGTTAGGGGTTTTAAATAGCTTCAAAGACAATGAAGCTGGATGGGAGATAGACAACAATCATTGAAGCTTCCTTTCCTTGCTTCTTGTCTCATACACAGCCTGAGTTCTAGAACACCCTGAGAAGCCCTTAGTATAATACAAAATAAACCAAATAACGGTAAATATTTCTTCCCTGATAGTCCAAGAGAAACAATTTGCTCTTGTTTTCAAGGCTCTTGTCCCCCAGAGAGGTCAGCGATTTTAAGCTCCTTCAGTAAAAATTACAAGGCACAAATGCCCAGATCAGAGAACTGGTGTGTCTACTCTGGCTTTCGAGGTGTTTGCTTTTCCTGATGCTCTTGAAGACATAACCCCTCTTTCCATTTCCCACCTCCTGGCAGCTGCCCAGGTCCCCAGCTTGCCTGCTCTGCTGTTTTCTCTCTCAGACTACCAAAAAAAAGTCCTTGAGTTCCCTTCTAAGTCAATGAATCATGGTACTGCAAAAGGGATGTTGTGTCCCACTATGACAGTATGAACCCATTATAGCCACTTCCTTCTCCTGGGCCTCACCTGCTCATGTAACTACTACTTCCTGAGAGCGCCATGGGCTGAGAACCAAATTGTCAATACATGGGGTCTTGCTGGATGCAAATTATAGCAATGTTTTAGGGAAATATCTTAAGGGGAGTGAGGTTTTTTTTTTTTTGTTTAACAAAATAGGTATACTGTGACTTCTTTTTAAATACAGTTGCTCCAAGTAGAACTTCAAGAGACCTCCTAATTTTATTTGAAAGAGAATACACCCTTCAGTCATAAATGCATATTTACAATAGAGACTATGTCCTAAAATTGTCACTGTGGCATTTAGGACAAACTTTTTTTTTAAAAAGAGCCACAGAGTGGGAGCCCCTTGGGTTATCATTAGATCCACATTCAGCAGGCATAGATCTAAGATATCAAACAGTGCCAATATTTGCAAATGTTTGAGTTTACTTTTTAAAATCTGTATGTCACCCCCACCCCAAATCCATATTTCTAGTTTTCTTGAAAACTGGAGAGTACAGCCATGTCGGAGTTGGACATTTGCCAACAAACCCTGAAGTATCCATTTGGGCAGGATGTGTACTTCCCGGTTCAGTGCAAATCCCATAAAACACGGCCCACAGCCTGCTCTCGGCAGGTAGGTGCATTTGCAATTGTGTTTGTTCCAAACCACCTGGGCTTATAAACTTGTGAGACAATGAAAAATAAATTAACTTCTTTGAAATAAATGTTGAAAGGGTGTGCTGGTTGCTCTTCACTTCTTCAAGGGTTTTTTTCCCCTTTCATCATCAGTTCCTGAGCAGATGAGGACCAACGTCTTAGAAGCTGGAAGGTCTGAGTCTCAGGAGAGACAGGTGTCAGGAAGAGCTACAGGATGTCTTGATAGGAGCTGTGACAAAAGAGAGGCCATGAGGAAAAGAAAGGAGAGAACAAAGGAGGGATGTGGAGGAAAGGCGCACACGGAAGGGGAGACCTACCGGCGCTTCCTGACGTAGCAGAACACAAGACAGGACAGAATTATCACTACTATCACGGCCACGACTCCGCTGATAACACCCACAGACGACTGTCTGCCACCTGCTTTGGAGGAACACAAGGCATCTCTAAACAAAGAACCCATCCCATTTCAAGTTCCCTACTCTACGCACATTATTTCTTCCTTCATTTAAACTCTGTCCTTTTATTCCTCATGAGTTTAGACCGGCCCTCTTCTGACAGGATGGCTGCGTGTGATCCGGACAGATGTGAATCTGTCTACCTCCAGCTCTTCAGCTTCCTGTGTGACTCTGGGTGGTTACCTTATCTTAGCATCGACTTGTTCATCTATAGTCTGAACAGCAGTACTTAACTTCAAAGCTCAGTGATGAAATGAAGGGACACACCAGCGGCAGAGTGGTCCGTGCTCCCACAGGAGGAGGCTCTCAATACACTACAGCTATGCTTTGGGCTCTGGTCCTCTGTCCTGGGGAATGGGTCTTCCTGCACTGCTTGGCCATTTGCCTCCGGATCTTCTGAGTTTCTGGGTCTCCTTTCTTCATATATATAGAACATCTTACCTCCAATTTTTTTGGGATTTCTTTCTGTATCTAGAATTCCCTCCTTCTATTTTTTCTATAATAGTTAGGGGTTTCTGTGGCTAGGTTTGTTCAACTCTCATTCCATGCTTGAAGGGTACCTCTCTCTACTCACTCTCGACACAGTATACAGCTTTTTTCTTACCCCAGTCGAGGATCATGACCTGCCCTCCTAGACTGCTGTGTTTTACCCAGCAGGCCAGGCCAGCCTCCTCTCCAGCCTCCACGTCCAGGGTTGCTCGGAGATACCATGTTCCATCAGCATTGGGCAGGATGTCACCTCTCTGAGTCCTCTTTTGCTCTAGCTCACCCTTCATCCACATCACCCACACAGGCTTTGGGTGGAATCCAGAGACATGGCACTGCAGCTGCTCATGGCCAGGTTTAGGACTGACGCCCTTGGACAACCAGGCCCCGGGCTTCTCTGCATCCAGCAAGAGGAGAAAAAAAAAATCTTAAGGCAAGAACACTTATATTAGAGGCTCCAGGCCTCCTATCAAGTTCATGCTTAAATTCATTTGTATCACTGTGACTAGGGAAACAAACCATCCTTGATACTTCTACCCCTCCCCTGATCCAAGTGAACGTCCTGTGAACAGCCCTTCCCTGTACTCTAGAATACCCTGAGTGCAGCTGAGACAGCATGTCTCAAATACCACCTGGCTCAGTTCTGATACTCAGTGTTTAACTCAATTCATAGAATCCACGAGTGACTGTCAGTGAAAAGAACAAACCCCCCATGCCTTATTCACCTCCTCCTGGGCCTCGCCCTTTCTCTAAAGCTTACAGTGATGGGAAAACACAGAAACAATCCACGTGGGGTGAGGACAGCAGACTGACCTTGCTTCTCTAGTTCCGGCTTCCCTGCCTCTAGGAGACCACGGACAAGCTGGGGGCAGGTGTCGCTCAGAAGCTGCTGAATCGTTTCCCTTGTCCCTTGATCACCGTTGAGCACCTTAATGACCGACTCCATCCAAGGTGGGGCCTCTGGGGCCTTCTGAAAGGAAGTTCCCTGAAAACTCAGCACACATTCTCCTTGAAACGCTACATGGAAAAAGTTCTCCGAAGCGTTCCCAGAGTACACTTCACACCCAGCAGACAACTGGACCTCAATGGGATCTGTAAAGAGGAATGGGTAGAGATCAAAGAATGATTAGGAAGTTTGGCAGAGAGGAGAAGAAACTGGCATGAAGATAATAGTTAGGTCTCAGTGGAGGGAAATGATCGCGGGTGTCCTGGAGCAGAAACAGGGACTAATTTTTCAGAAGAGACAAGGATCTCTCTAGACAGAAGTGAAAATCATAAGGGCAGAGAAAGCAGAGACTCTCATCAGATAACCCCACAGTTATCCAGTTGGGGTTTGGGAGACTGTCTCACCCATCGGGTACCTGTTCAGGGCTCCATCCCTCCACTTACAGTGTATGACAGACACCATTTTGACTAATTCCTGTATGTCCCTGGTAAAGCTGGTTCGATACACTTGAAACACACGCTGCAACTTCTCCCACTGTTGGTGACTGAATTTGCCCCGGGACCACGGCTTCACGAAGCTGATGGTGTCTGAGTCATTACTCCAACGGTGCGTTTGCACATCCCCTAGCCAGGCCAAGCCATCTGTGCGGGAGCAGCTACTGTTGGCGAAGGAAGAGATCTGCAGGCAGCGGAAGGGGAAATTCTCTCGCTGTGCTGGAAACAATGAAAACCAAATGAGCATAGCAAGTGAGTGACCAAGCCGGCAGAAGGACTCTTAGGGAAAAGAACAGCCTTAGCTGGGCTTGGGAAAGAGAGGCATGGGGTAGGGTTCTGAACTGCGTTGGGCTCTGAGCCTGAACCGCACAGCGTTCCGCCCACCTGTGCGCTCCAAGCCCGCCAGAGTCCCACCCTCCATCCCCCCTCTCGCCCCCCCCACTCCGCCCACAACCTCCCAGCGCTGCTACTAGTCAGGCACTCTCTTCCTCCTTTTCCAGTCCCTTCTGTGTGCACGTCTACTCACCCTCAGATTGTCCCCAGACCCGCGCGAACACCCAAAGCAACAGGCACGGTAGGTACCGCATGGCGCGAGAGGTCTGCACAGCCCTAGGCTCCGACTTCAGCGTCTTACTCTTCACCTGAGCACAAAGGCTCTGGGGCTTTTGGCTCAGTGCTCGCCAAATCCGGAAGCACCGGACTGGCAAATTAATTACTCTTTTACAAACTCACCCCCCCTCGTGGTTGAGTGTTAGAGCGCAGCTTTAACCAGTACCGCTACACAACCAACTTTTCTCAACTGTCTTTCCCTTATACTAAAGAAAAGGTTTATGTAATGGATAGTTGTTCCAGCTTCGACCTGGAAGTATTGCCCCCATTGAGGTTTCGGTAACTGTCTCGCTTAAAAGGCTGAGCCGAGAGATGGTCCTGAAGACCCCAGGTCCAGATCTGCCGGATTGGCCGGATCGTCCAGATAGGCTGGATCGGCTGGCTCTCTTAGTTTCTGGCCCCTGGACGCTGGAGGCAGACTGAGCCGAGTTCTCCAGAGAACACCTCTGGACTGCGCTTCACCTTTCCCAGCCCCTGCAACCTGTTGTTACCCCACTTGTTGTGGGAGCCCGTTCTTGGGTTCCTCGTGGCTTTACCCAGCAGGTCCGAATAGAGGATGATCAGGACCACGGGCCTGAGTGCAGGTGTCTGAGATGGTCTGCACTTGGCTGTGCTGGGGGAGGAGGTCTTTTGCCCCCCCCCCCTTGGCGTCTCTATAAAAACCCTGGGCCAGAGACAGTCGGGGCCCGTTGGAATAGGTTCCAGGCCCTCTCGAGGCTATCCTTTATTTTCTATCTGTTTATCTCCGCAAGATGCTCCGCTATAAATCCTTCTATCTAATATTTCCTGCTGCTCGCACTCAAGAAAACTCTGGGGAACTGTGGGGGTGGTGGGTAAATGCCCCACAACTTGTAAGTTACCCCACAAAATAAACCTCCCTTTTAACTATGTGGAGTTGCCTTACTTAATATTTAAACCAATAGGTTGAGATCAGCTTTTTTTTTTTTTGCCATCTCAATGTTAAAAGCAAGACATAAGGTCGTATTTGTGTTACCATTCCGATGGTATTAAAAACGCAAAGAGAGAAAAGTTTCGGGCAAGCGAGCAGTGGCAGTTTGCAGGCGCGAAGTCGTTTTACACTTTCGACTCCTCCCAGATCTCCACATGTTTATTTAAAAAAAAAAAAAAAGGATGGGCGTGGTTCTCGCATCGGTACACTGAGAGGACAGGGTGGGCTACATTACTTCACAACATCCGTATCCCCACGGTCTCCTGAGTCCATATTCCCCAGACTCTTTCCTCTTAACCTGGGGTCTCTTCTCCCTGCCTTGTCTCTCCTGTGTCTTCCCTAGCTCCAGTCTGGGAGAGTATAAGCGTGTTCGTTTATTTATTTGTTTGTTTGTTTATTTATTTATTTATTTTTGCAGTATATCAGGATTTGTGCAAATTGAAGACTTGCCTACTAGCTTCTTCCTCTGCCTTCCCACCCACTCTCAAAAAACGAACCTCATGGTTTTGAGAACAGAGGTAGGATTACGGTGTGTGCCTGTGAGTTTGAGTGGTCCTGTCCTATTTCTCACACTGAAAACAGGCATCCGAGAAACAGTTACTCAGAACTTTGAGTAACCCCGAGAAAGAAGTCATCATTAGTAAAGCAGACTCCCAATACCATCTTCCCCTTCCTTTTATTCACTCCGTGGTCAGCTTTGCTCTGTCTTTCTGTCTTGTCTCTTAAGTGGGTCCTCTTCTCTACACCCCCACCTTCCCCATCACCCTAACCCTCTGCTTCACCTGTATGAAACAGCTTTCCTGAGAAGAGGAAAAAAACATCATCAGTATGGCCTATAGGGTCATCCTGGCCCTGCGCTGGTTTGCCTCTGAGCACCAAATGAGACCCTGTTCTCAGGCTCACGGGCTTCAGTTCCTCACAGCTTCCTCCTGCCTAAGATCGCTGCACAAACAGGGACCTTGGGGAACTCTGGCCTCCAAGCCCATCCTAGTGGTTTCCACAACTCCAATGCCATTTTCTCAGGAGAGCCTTCTGAAGCTTCCCAGGCAGTGTGAGTGAAGGCAGGAGAGCTAGCCAGCCTCATCTCCACGGCCTGTGCAGCAAGCAGCTGGCTTTGAAGGCTTTTCTTCCTAACACCTAGTCCTCGTGGTTACGGGAATGGTGGTTTGTCTGCTTCCTTGTTCTCTCTATAATCAGCTGGAGGGATGTCAGAACATAAGGGTCGCCTCTCCCGACTGCCATTCCTCCCATTCTGCCTTCATTAGCTTTGCTCCTGCTATTCTCACTCTTCGAAGAGTCCTAGAGGACAGGCTTTTCCCTCTAGGCTGGCCTCTTGGAGGTAGCTCTAATCAACCAGACCTCATTTTACTGGATGTTGCTCCAAAAACAGTTTAAAATGACTCTGAAAAGTTTTGTTAAAAAAATAAAGTGTTATCAAGGCGTGGTGGTGCTTGCCTTTAATCCTAGCACTTAGGAGGTAGAGGCAGACAGATCTCTGAGTTTGAGGACAGCTTGGCCTACAGAGTGAGTTCTATGACAACCAGGGCCACACAGAGAAACCCTGTTTTGAAAAACCAACAAGAAAAGAATATATATGTATATACATATATATGGCTAAATATAATATATATGGTTAAAATAATTGTTTTTATTTAGTTCGAAATATTTTATTATTTTTATTACAACATAATTACATTATTTCCCTCCATACCTTTCCTTCCTCCAGTTCTTCCCATGTCACTTCTCTCCCCACACTCACTATCAATTTACTGGCTTCTTCTTTTTTTTATTATTGTTACACACACACACACACACACACACACACACACACACACACACACACACACACTTATTACTACATATGCAGTCCATTCAGTGCTCTTACCAAGTACATCTTTTCCGAGCTTACTACTTGGTATTGTATAACCACTTAGAGGGTCTCCTCCCTGGGGGAAGAACACTTCTTTTCTCAATGTCTCTTGGTTCTTTATCTCAAGGCAGGGCCCTGTGAAATTCTCCCCACCTTCAATATTAGGATGTCTATTGACATCCCAAACTTGTTCAGAATTTGTTAAGCAGCCATGTTGTTGAGGTATCATGGATGAAGCTTCCCTGTCATTCTTAGGAGACATAATCTCACAGCGTTTTCTTGCCCTCTGGCTCACACACTCTTTCTGTCTCCTCTTCCATGATGTTCCCTGAGCCTGGAGTGCAGGAGTTATACTGTAGTGTGTCCACTGGGACTGATCAGTTGTTCTGCACTTTGACCTGTGTGGTTCTCTGAAATAGTCTCTGTTCTTCGATGGTGGGTGTAGGGATAAATATTTAGAATGCAGTTAGGGATTATGCCGGCTCAGTAAAGTAGCAGGGCGGGA